CCTGTTGACTGCACTACCCAACTTGCCAGAGTCAAAATTAAATGAATTGAATACTTTATTCTTTCAATTCATATGGAGTGGAAAACCTGATCGAATTAAACGAAGTACTTTAATCGGAGATATTCCACAAGGAGGTTTAAATATGATTAATATACATTATTTTAATATATACCTTAAGATTGGTTGGATAAAGAGGTTTTCATCCAATTTATCTGGTAGTTGGCAATCATTGTTATTGAAAAGCCTTGAACAGTATGGTGGAGAAAGAGTATTGCATTTTAAAAAGGAGAAACTCAGAGAAATCTCTGATAGTCTTAACAATCCTTTTTGGAAGGATATATTTTTTAGCTTTCATGTAGCAAGGCCTACTACCAATATTTCTGTTCGAGATATTTTGTCATTAGATATTTTAAATTTCGCATCTCTAGTATATTTTCCGTACTTTATTCAGTGGCAGAGAAGGGGAGTGCAGTCTTTGTTTGAACTTGTTAACGTAGAGACTAAGAATTTTTGTAATTTTGATCAGATAGGACCAAGACTTCAAACAAATAATTTCTTAAAGTATTATGGTCTCATTGCAAACATTCCAAAGTATATGAGAGAACATATTAAAGAAAACATTGCTCATGTAAATTTTGAAACTTTTAACTGTATTGATAATTTTTTGGAAAGATTATAATTGTGCAACAAAAAGTCCAAGTTTGTATACAAAGATCTTGTTGACAGAAATGTGCAACTGCCAACAGAAAAGTTCTTACAATGAGAGAAATTACTAGGTATTGACATTGCAGATTGGTCAGAATATTGTTTTATTTTAAGAAAATCATGTAGACACTTATTTAAGAACTTTTCAGTACAAATTTTTACATAGAATAATTGCAACTAATACTTTCTTGTATAAAGTTAAACTTAAAGATTCGAAGCTTTGTACTTTTTGTAAGGTTTCTGATGAAACCATGGAGCATTTATTCTATGAATGTCCAATAACACATTTTATATGGCAATCTTTTTCACAAAAATTGAAACACTATTTTGTGAACTTTACATTATCTAAGAAACACATTTTTCTTGGCCTCCAAAATGAGAGTTTACTGTTAAATTTGATGATTATCATTGCAAAGAACTATATATACAAATGTAAATTGTATGAAAAGAAGCCAAGTATTATAGGACTTTTAGCAAATATTAGAAAATATCAGGAAAATGAACATTATATAGCGAAGAAAAATGGTACCACACCTTTTTTTTCAAAAATTCTGGGCCCCAGTAGATTACATTTTTACTGATTAGTAACAATTACTTTTGATTCAAATCATATAAAGTAAAAAATGAAACTTACAGTTTATAAAGAGCAGATCTTTACAAAGATAACATTTTTCTTTGCAATACACAAGTTGATATATGTTATGTTAACGCAAGTGCAAGAGTGGGTGTATGTGTGTGTGATTGTTTTCTTTTCCCCTTTTTATTATAATGTTGATATTCATATAATATATATTCACAGTAGAAACAAAAATGTAGTCAATTATTAATTTTTTTGTTTCCTATATCAAACCCCTTAACACCATACTCAGGTGGTGATGTACAGGGATTGTAAAAGCCTGACTACTGAAAAACAAATAAAAAAAAAGTTAGCTAGCGCTTTAGTAACAGTTCACATTTCTGCCGATACCATTGATTTTGTTACTTTGTAAACTTGTAACTAAAGACACGCCTCGTACTGGCTTCTCGAGATTGAGTCATATTGTTTTAAAAAGGAAGAATTCTACCTAATTAGATATAAAATGTTTATTGAATACACGTGTCATTTGAAATTGCGACGTGTGCCTTAATATTGGGATATATTCAATTGATTATCATAGGGTGTAGTTGAACCTAAATGTATATATCATATTTTTTTAATTTTCGAATTGAAAAAGCCGTAGCAAGTTCTTAAATTGGTAACATAAGGTGGAAATTCTTATGCAAACATTTTTATTCATGGCTTTTCTAAAATTTCTACGGCTGGATGCAGTTCATTTATGTTATATTAAAAAAAATCATCTCAAAATGTTTTAAAAATGGTTAACATGTATATAGTCCATGAGGTACGAAATGATAGATGAATTTGACCCATAGGGAAAGAAATGGTTTTTATCGTGGGTACGTCTACAAAAAGGTAAATGTTGGGTACGAAATGGTAATTTTGGGTACAAAATGGCAGAGTTACGAAATGGTTAAGGTACGAAATGGCTTGCTACCCATGTACCAGGGGTAGTCTGTGTATACCTTTATACATTAAGATATATCCCCCATCCCTTTAGATTGGATTGCTAGTATAGGTCATAAGATGGCTAGAACTCCATCTTTTCCCCAAACCAAAACAAGACAATGAAATTTAGAGAAATCGATTTTTTTGAATTGCTTGAGTTTACAAAAAGCTGATGGATGAAAAATCTAATAATAATGGTCAATAGCTATTTATAATATACAGGAATAAAACTTACAGCAAAATGTAAATAAATCTTTCCAAATTATAAATTCAAATATCGAAAGCAAATTAATTTATCACTTGCTTGAAAGCCCACAGTAAAAAAAGCAAAAATAATTCACCTGTTGACTGCACTACCCAACTTGCCAGAGTCAAAATTAAATGAATTGAATACTTTATTCTTTCAATTCATATGGAGTGGAAAACCTTATCGAATTAAACGAAGTACTTTAATCGGAGATATTCCACAAGGAGGTTTAAATATGATTAATATACATTATTTTAATATATACCTTAAGATTGGTTGGATAAAGAGGTTTTCATTCAATTTATCTGGTAGTTGGCAATCATTGTTATTGAAAAGCCTTGAACAGTATGGTGGAGAAAGAGTATTGCATTTTAAAAAGGAGAAACTCAGAGAAATCTCTGATAGTCTTAGTAATCCTTTTTGGAAGGATATATTTTTTAGCTTTCATGTAGCAAGGCCTACTACCAATATTTCTGTTCGAGATATTTTGTCATTAGATATTTTAAATTTCGCATCTCTAGTAGATTTTCCGTACTTTATTCAGTGGCAGAGAAGGGGAGTGCAGTCTTTGTTTGACCTTGTTAACGTAGAGACTAAGAATTTTTGTAATTTTGATCAGATAGGACCAAGACTTCAAACAAATAATTTCTTAAAGTATTATGGTCTCATTGCAAACATTCCAAAGTATATGAGAGAACATATTAAAGAAAACATTGCTCATGTAAATTTTGAAACTTTTAACTGTATTGATAATTTTTTGGAAAGATTATAATTGTGCAACAAAAAGTCCAAGTTTGTATACAAAGATCTTGTTGACAGAAATGTGCAACTGCCAACAGAAAAGTTCTTACAATGAGAGAAATTACTAGGTATTGAAATTGCAGATTGGTCAGAATATTGTTTTATTTTAAGAAAATCATGTAGACACTTATTTAAGAACTTTTCAGTACAAATTTTTACATAGAATAATTGCAACTAATACTTTCTTGTATAAATTTAAACTTAAAGATTCGAAGCTTTGTACTTTTTGTAAGGTTTCTGATGAAACCATGGAGCATTTATTCTATGAATGTCCAATAACACATTTTATATGGCAATCTTTTTCACAAAAATTGAAACACTATTTTGTGAACTTTACATTATCTAAGAAACACATTTTTCTTGGCCTCCAAAATGAGAGTTTACTGTTAAATTTGATGATTATCATTGCAAAGAACTATATATACAAATGTAAATTGTATGAAAAGAAGCCAAGTATTATAGGACTTTTAGCAAATATTAGAAAATATCAGGAAAATGAACATTATATAGCAAAGAAAAATGGTACCACACCTTTTTTTTTCAAAAATTCTGGGCCCCAGTAGATTACATTTTTACTGATTAGTAACAATTACTTTTGATTCAAATCATATAAAGTAAAAAATGAAACTTACAGTTTATAAAGAGCAGATCTTTACAAAGATAACATTTTTCTTTGCAATACACAAGTTGATATATGTTATGTTAACGCAAGTGCAAGAGTGGGTGTATGTGTGTGTGATTGTTTTCTTTTCCCCTTTTTATTATAATGTTGATATTCATATAATATATATTCACAGTAGAAACAAAAATGTAGTCAATTATTAATTTTTTTGTTTCCTATATCAAACCCCTTAACACCATACTCAGGTGGTGATGTACAGGGATTGTAAAAGCCTGACCACTGAAAAACAAATAAAAAAAAAAGTTAGCTAGCGCTTTAGTAACAGTTCACATTTCTGCCGATACCATTGATTTTGTTACTTTGTAAACTTGTAACTAAAGACACGCCTCGTACTGGCTTCTCGAGATTGAGTCATATTGTTTTAAAAAGGAAGAATTCTACCTAATTAGATATAAAATGTTTATTGAATACACGTGTCATTTGAAATTGCGACGTGTGCCTAAATATTGGGATATATTCAATTGATTATCATAGGGTGTAGTTGAACCTAAATGTATATATCATATTTTTTTAATTTTCGAATTGAAAAAGCCGTAGCAAGTTCTTAAATTGGTAACATAAGGTGGAAATTCTTATGCAAACATTTTTATTCATGGCTTTTCTAAAATTTCTACGGCTGGATGCAGTTCATTTATGTTATATTAAAAAAAATCATCTCAAAATGTTTTAAAAATGGTTAACATGTATATAGTCCATGAGGTACGAAATGATAGATGAATTTGACCCATAGGGAAAGAAATGGTTTTTATCGTGGGTTCGTCTACAAAAAGGTAAATGTTGGGTACGAAATGGTAATTTTGGGTACAAAATGGCAGAGTTACGAAATGGTTAAGGTACGAAATGGCTTGCTACCCATGTACCAGGGGTAGTCTGTGTATACCTTTATACATTAAGATATATCCCCCATCCCTTGAGATTGGATTGCTAGTATAGGTCATAAGATGGCTAGAACTCCATCTTTTCCCCAAACCAAAACAAGACAATGAAATTTAGAGAAATCGATTTTTTTTAATTGCTTGAGATACAAAAAGCTGATGGATGAAAAATCTAATAATAATGGTCAATAGCTATTTATAATATACAGGAATAAAACTTACAGCAAAATGTAAATAAATCTTTCCAAATTATAAATTCAAATATCGAAAGCAAATTAATTTATCACTTGCTTGAAAGCCCACAGTAAAAAAAGCAAAAATAATTCACCTGTTGACTGCACTACCCAACTTGCCAGAGTCAAAATTAAATGAATTGAATACTTTATTCTTTCAATTCATATGGAGTGGAAAACCTTATCGAATTAAACGAAGTACTTTAATCGGAGATATTCCACAAGGAGGTTTAAATATGATTAATATACATTATTTTAATATATACCTTAAGATTGGTTGGATAAAGAGGTTTTCATTCAATTTATCTGGTAGTTGGCAATCATTGTTATTGAAAAGCCTTGAACAGTATGGTGGAGAAAGAGTATTGCATTTTAAAAAGGAGAAACTCAGAGAAATCTCTGATAGTCTTAGTAATCCTTTTTGGAAGGATATATATTTAGCTTTCATGTAGCAAGGCCTACTACCAATATTTCTGTTCGAGATATTTTGTCATTAGATATTTTAAATTTCGCATCTCTAGTAGATTTTCCGTACTTTATTCAGTGGCAGAGAAGGGGAGTGCAGTCTTTGTTTGACCTTGTTAACGTAGAGACTAAGAATTTTTGTAATTTTGATCAGATAGGACCAAGACTTCAAACAAATAATTTCTTAAAGTACTATGGTCTCATTGCAAACATTCCAAAGTATATGAGAGAACATATTAAAGAAAACATTGCTCATGTAAATTTTGAAACTTTTAACTGTATTGATAATTTTTTGGAAAGATTATAATTGTGCAACAAAAAGTCCAAGTTTGTATACAAAGTCTTTTGGAGAGATATTGGACCTTTTCTTTTTAGATCATTATATTTTGGCTATGAAAAGGGGGAATTTTCAAAATTTCAGTATCAAAGTGTCATTACATGCATTCCAAAGGAAGATAAAGATAGACGTCATTTAGCTAATTGGCGCCCAATTAGCCTTATGAATACTGACACGAAGATTGCTTCTGCTGTCATTGCTAATAGAATAAAACCTGTTTTACCATATTATCAGTGACTGTCAGAAAGGCTTTATAAAGGACAGATTTATGGGTGAGAATACGCGTCTATTGTATGATTTGATGCACTATTTAGAAAAACATAACAAAACTGGTCTTTTACTACTAGTAGATTTTGAAAAGGCTTTTGACTCTATCGAATGGTCTTTTTATTGAAAAAAGCATTGAAGAGTTTCAATTTTGGACCATCTATATGCAGATGGTTTGAAGTATTTTATTTGAAAGCATCAAGTTGTGTTATAAATTATGGTCATCTTTCAAGCTTCTTTAATTTGGAGAGAAGTTATAGACAAGGATACCCCTCTCCCCTAACCTTTTTATTATAGGTGTTTAGTTACTTTCTATGAAAATAAGGTCAAACCCCAAAATAAAGGGAACTTTTTGTTCATGAAAATGAATCCCTTTTGAGCCAATATGCTGATGACACTTTCCTTGTTTTAGATGGAACTGAAACATCATTGAGGGAGACTTTGAATTGTTTTGACTCTTTCCAAACATTATCTGGGTTAAAAATTAATTCTTCTAAAACTAAAGCTGTGTGGGTTGGGAACAAAAAAAATTCAGATCTGATTCTCTGCCCTGATTTAAAACTTCAGTGGTGCTATTCAAATTTTAAACTTTTGGGACTTGAATTCTCTTTAGATCTTGACAGTATGTCAGAAATTAACTTCTCCAAAAAGATAAAGGAGGTGTCAGGCATTCTTAAGAGTTGGCATCATAGAAAATGAACCCTTATGGGAAACATTACTGTTATCAAGACTTTGGCACTTCCAAAATTAATTCACCTGTTGACTGCACTACCCAACTTGCCAGAGTCAAAATTAAATGAATTGAATACTTTATTCTTTCAATTCATATGGAGTGGAAAACCTGATCGAATTAAACGAAGTACTTTAATCGGAGATATTCCACAAGGAGGTTTAAATATGATTAATATACATTATTTTAATATATACCTTAAGATTGGTTGGATAAAGAGGTTTTCATCCAATTTATCTGGTAGTTGGCAATCATTGTTATTGAAAAGCCTTGAACAGTATGGTGGAGAAACAGTATTGCATTTTGAAAAGGAGAAACTCAGAGAAATCTCTGATAGTCTTAACAATCCTTTTTGGAAGGATACATTTTTAGCTTTCATGTAGCAAGGCCTACTACCAATATTTCTGTTCAAGATATTTTGTCATTAGATATTTTAAATTTCGCATCTCTAGTAGATTTTCCGTACTTTATTCAGTGGCAGAGAAGGGGAGTGCAGTCTTTGTTTGACTTTGTTAACGTAGAGACTAAGAATTTTTGTAATTTTGATCAGATAGGACCAAGACTTCAAACAAATAATTTCTTAAAGTATTATGGTCTCATTGCAAACATTCCAAAGTATATGAGAGAACATATTAAAGAAAACATTGCTCATGTAAATTTTGAAACTTTTAACTGTATTGATAATTTTTTGGAAAGATTATTGTGCAAGAAAAAGGCCAAGTTTGTATACAAAGATCTTGATGACAGAAATGTGCAACTGCCAACAGAAAAGTTCTTACAATGAGAGAAATTACTAGGTATTGAAATTGCAGATTGGTCAGAATATTGTTTTATTTTAAGAAAATCATGTAGACACTTATTTAAGAAGTTTTCAGTACAAATTTTACATAGAATAATTGCAACTAATAATTTCTTGTATAAAGTTAAACTTAAAGATTCAAAGCTTTGTACTTTTTGTAAGGTTTCTGATGAAACCATGGAGCATTTATTCTATGAATGTCCAATAACACATTTTATATGGCAATCTTTTTCACAAAAATTGAAACACTATTTTGTGAACTTTACATTATCTAAGAAACACATTTTTCTTGGCCTTCAAAATGAGAGTTTACTGTTAAATTTGATGATTATCATTGCAAAAAACTATATATACAAATGTAAATTGTATGAAAAGAAGCCAAGTATTAAAGGGCTTTTAGCAAAAATAAGAAAATATCAGGAAAATGAAATTATATAGCAAAGAAAATAGTACCACAACTTTTTTTCAAAAATTCTGGGTCCCAGTAGATTACATTTTTACTGATTAGTAACAATTACTTTTGATTCAAATCATATAAAGTAAAAAATGAAACTTACAGTTTATAAAGAGCAGATCTTTACAAAGATAACATTTTTCTTTGCAATACACAAGTTGATATATGTTATATTAACGCAAGTGCAAGAGTGGGTGTATGTGTGTGTGATTGTTTTCTTTTCCCCTTTTTATTATAATGTTGATATTCATATAATATATATTCACAGTAGAAAAAAAATGTAGTCAATTATTAATTTTTTTGTTTCCTATATCAAACCCCTTAACACCATATTCAGGTGGTGATGTACAGGGATTGTAAAAAGCCTGACTACTGAAAAACAAATAAAAAAAAAAAATGCTCCACTGGGCGCAGCTTGATACGACCGCAAAGGTCGAACTCTGAACAGTTGGGGCAAGTATGGACACAACATTCAAGCTTGATACAGCACTGAATTTGGATTGTGATTAAATATTTGACACAGCATAGGTTTCTGACACAGAATGAATGTGGTCGAAGGACTTAAAATTGTTTAATTTACCTATTCAAACCATATCATTATTATTTGCTTTTATATATAAATCGGAAATAACCAATTTAAAATGGAAAATTTTAACGAAAAAAAAAGGAAAATAAAATGTTCCGCAGGGCGCAGCTTGATACGACCGCAGAGGTCGAACCCTGAACAGTTGGGGCAAGTATGGACACAACATTCAAGCTTGATACAGCTATGCATTTGGATTGTGATTAAATATTTGACACAGCATAGGTTTCTGACACAGAATGAATGTGGTCTAAGAACTTAAAAATTTTAAATTGTACATTCACCTATTATGGTCCAATATCCAAAATCTAAATACATGGATAGATTCAGCATATCAAAGAACCCCAAGAATTCAATTTTTGATGAAATCAAACAAAGTTTAATTTTGGACCCTTTTGACCTCAATGTGGACAAAGTTGATAACAGGGCCACAAAAACAAAAATCTAAATACATGGTTAGATTCAGCATATCAAAGAACCCCATATATTCAATTTTTGTTGAAATCAAACAAAGTTTAATTTTGGACCCCGATTTGGACCAACTTGAAAACTGGGCCCATAATCAAAAATATAAATACATGTTTAGATTCAGCATATAAAAGAACCCTAAGAATTCAATTTTTGTTAAAATCAAACTAAGTTTAATTTTGGACCCTTTGGACCTTAATGTAGACCAATTTGAAAACGGAACCAAAAATTAAGAATCTAAATACACGGTTAGATTCGGCATATCAAAGAACCCCAATAATTCAATTTTTGATGAAATCAAACAAAGTTTAATTTTGGACCCTTTGGACATCAATGTGGACCAATTTAAAAACGGGGCCCAAAATCCAAAAACTAAATACACGGTTAGATTCAGCATATTAAAGAACCCCAAGAATTCAAGAATAAAACCCCATTGAAATTGGTCAAGAAATAAGCAATTTATACGAAGTATCTTCTTTTGCACAATACTGTGCAATTAAATATTTCTTGCTATTGCGCAATACTGTACAATTGACAATTTCTTGATATTGTGCAATATTGTGCTATTGCATATTTCTTGCTATTGCGCAATACTGTGCAATTGAAGATTTCTTGCTATTGCGCAATACTGTGCAATTGAAGATTTCTTGCTATTGTGCAATACTGTGCAATTGAAAATTTCTTGCTATTGCACAATACTTATTATATAATAATTTACACATCCTGTTTGGTGTGTATCTCCTACCATATCATTATTATTTGCTTTTAAATATAAATCAGAAATAAACAAATTAAAATGGAAAATTTAAAAAAAAAAAAAGGAAAAAAAGAAAAAAAAGGAAAAAAAGGAAAAAAAGAAAAAAAAGGAAAAAAAAAAATCCCCCCCCCAAATTTTTTGAACCCCCTTATGATTCATCACCCCCAAACTCAATCCCAGCCTTCCCTTTGTGGTATGGTACCTTGCAGTACAATTTCAGAGAGATCCATACACTTGAACACAAGTTATTGTCTGGAAACTAGAAAAATGTGTTTTTTGGCCCCTTTTTGGCCCCAAATTCCTAAACGTTTAGGGCAATTACCCCCAAACTCAAACCCAGCTTTCCCTTTGTGATATGGAACCTTGTAGTACAATTTCAGAAAGATCCATACACTTACACACAAGTTATTGTCCTGAAACTAGAAAAATGCTTGTTTTTTGCCCCTTTTTGGCCCCTAATTCCTAAAATTTTGAGGCAGTTACCCCCATCAACAATCCCAGCCTTCCCTTTGTGGTATGGTTCCTTGCAGTACAATTTCAGAGAGATCCATACACTTGAACACAAGTTATTGTCTGGAAACTAGAAAAATGTGTTTTTTGGCCCCTTTTTGGCCCCCAATTCCTAAACGTTTCGGCAATTACCCCCAAACTCAATTCCAGCTTTCTCTTTGTGATATGGAACCTTGTAGTACAATTTCAGAAAGATGCATACACTTACACACAAGTTATTGTCATGAAACTAGAAAAATGCTTGTTTTTTGCCCCTTTTTTGGCCCCTTATTCCTAAAATTTTGAGGCAGTTACCCCCAAAATCAATCCCAGCATTCCTTTTGTGATATGGAACCTTGTGGTACAATATCAGAGAGATCCATACACTAACACAGAAGTTATGTCTGGAAGTTACAAAAATGCTTATTTTTTGGCCCCTTTTTGGCCCCTAATTCCTTTACTGTTGGTACCATAATCCCCAAATGGTATTGAACCTTGTGGTAAAATTTCATAGAGATCCATTCACTTAAACTAAAGTTAGAGTGCGAAAACCAATGTGTCTTCGGACGACGCCGGACGACGCCGGACGACGCCAGACGACGCCAGACGACGCCAGACGACGACGACGACGACGACGCCAACGTCATACCAATATACGACCACAAAATTTTTTTGCGGTCGTATAAAAAGGAAAAAAAATCCCTCCCCCAAATTTTTGAACCCCCTTATGATTCATCACCCCCAAACTCAATCCCAGCATTCCCTTTGTGGTATGGTACCTTGCAGTACAATTTCAGAGAGATCCATACACTTGAACACAAGTTATTGTCTGGAAACTAGAAAAATGCTTGTTTTTAGGCCCCTTTTGGCCCCAAATTCCTAAACGTTTCGGGCAATTACCTCCAAACTCAAACCAAGCTTTCCCTTTGTGATATGGAACCTTGTAGTACAATTTCATAAAGATCCATACACTTACACACAAGTAATTGTCCTGAAATTAGAAAAATGCTGGTTTTTTGCCCCTTTTTGGCCCCTTATTCCTAAAATTTTGAGGCAATTACCCCCAAAATCAATCCCAGCCTTCCCTTTGTGATATGGTACCTTGCAGTACAATTTCAGAGAGATCCATACACTTGAACACAAGTTATTGTCTGGAAACTAGAAAAATGCTTATTTTTTTTTGCCCCTAATTCCTAAACGTTTCGGGCAATTACCCCCAAACTCAATTCCAGCTTTCCCTTTGTGATATGGAACCTTGTGGTACAATTTCAGAAAGATCCATACACTTACACACAAGTTATTGTCATGAAACTAGAAAAATGCTTGTTTTTTTCCCCTTTTTTGGCCCCAATTCCTAAAATTTTGAGGCAATTACCCCGAAAATCAATCCCAGCATTCCCTTTGTGATATGGAACCTTATGGTACAATGTCAGAGAGATCCATACACTAACGAACAAGTTATGTCTGGAAGTTACAAAAATGCTTATTTTTGGACCCTTTTGGGCCCCTTATTCCTTAACTGTTGGTACCATAACCCCCAAAATCAATCCCAACCTTCCTTTTTGTGGTATTGAACCTTATGGTAAAATTTCATAGAGATCCATTCACTTAAACTAAAGTTAGAGTGCGAAAACCAATGTGTCTTCGGACGAAGACGACGACGCCGGACGACGACGACGACGATGCCAACGTCATACCAATATACGACCACAAAAATTTGTTTGCGGTCGTATAAAAATTAGCTAGCGCTTTAGTAACAGTTCACATTTCTGCCGATACCATTGATTTTGTTACTTTGTAAACTTGTAACTAAAGACACGCCTCGTACTGGCGTCTCGAGATTGAGTCATATTGTTTTAAAAAGGTAGAATTCTACCTAATTGGATATAAAATGTTTTTGAATACACGTGTCATTTGAAATTGCGACGTTTGCCTAAATATTGGGATATATTCAATTGATTATCATAGAGTGTAGTTGAACCTAGATGTATATATCATATTTTTTTAATTTCTCGAATTGGATAAGCTGTAGCAAGTTCTTTGATTGGTAACATAAGGTTGAAATTCTTATGCAAACATTTTTATTCATGGCTTTTCTAAAATTTCTACGGCTGGATGCAATTCATTTATGTTATATTAAAAAAAATCATCTCAAAATGTTTCAAATCTTGAAAATAATTAGAACTTCTATAAATATATGATACAAAATGGTTAACATGTATATAGTCCATGAGGTACGAATTGATAGATGAATTTGACCCATAGGGAACGAAATGGTTTTTATCGTGGGTACGTCTACGAAAAGGTATATGTTGGGTAAGAAATGGTAATTTTGGGTACAAAATGGCAGAGTTACGAAATGGTTAAGGTACGAAATGGCTTGCTACCCATGTACCAGGGGTAGTCTGTGTATACCTTTATACATTAAGATATATCCCCCATCCCTTGAGATTGGATTGCTAGTATAGGTCATAAGATGGCTAGAACTCCATCTTTTCCCCAAACAAAAACAAGACTACTGAAATTTAGAGAAATCATTTTTTTTTAATTGCATGAGATACAAAAAGCTGATGGATGAAAAATCTAATAATAATGGTCAATAGCTATTTACAATATACAGGAATAAAACTTACAGCAAAATGTAAATAAATCTTTCCAAATTATAAATTCAAATATCGAAAGCAAATTTATTTATCACTTGCTTGAAAGCCCACAGTAAAAAAAGCAAAATTAATTCACCTGTTGACTGCACTACCCAACTTGCCAGAGTCAAAATTAAATGAATTGAATACTTTATTCTTTCAATTCATATGGAGTGGAAAACCTTATCGAATTAAACGAAGTACTTTAATCGAAGATATTCCACAAGGAGGTTAAAATATGATTTATATACATTATTTTAATATATACCTTAAGATTGGTTGGATAAAGAGGTTTTCATCCAATTTATCTGGTAGTTGGCAATCATTGTTATTGAAAAGCCTTGAACAGTATGGTGGAGAAAGAGTATTGCATTTTAAAAAGGAGAAACTCAGAGAAATCTCCGATAGTCTTAGTAATCTTTTTTGGAAGGATACATTTTTAAGCTTTCATGTAGCAAGGCCTACTACCAATATTTCTGTTCGAGATATTTTGTCATTAGATATTTTAAATTTCGCATCTCTAGTAGATTTTCCGTACTTTATTCAGTGGCAGAGAAGGGGAGTGCAGTCTTTGTTTGACCTTGTTAACGTAGAGACTAAGAATTTTTGTAATTTTGATCAGATAGGACCAAGACTTCAAACAAATAATTTCTTAAAGTATTATGGTCTCATTGCAAACATTCCAAAGTATATGAGAGAACATATTAAAGAAAACATTGCTCATGTAAATTTTGAAACTTTTAACTGTATTGATAATTTTTTGGAAAGATTATTGTGCAACAAAAAGGCCAAGTTTGTATACAAAGATCTTGTTGACAGAAATGTGCAACTGCCAACAGAAAAGTTCTTACAATGGGAGAAATTACTAGGTATTGAAATTGCAGATTGGTCAGAATATTATATTATTTTAAGAAAATCATGTAAAGACACTTATTTAAGAACTTTTCAGTACAAATTTTTACATAGAATAATTGCAACTAATACTTTCTTGTATAAAGTTAAACTTAAAGATTCAAAGCTTTGTACTTTTTGTAAGGTTTCTGATGAAACCATGGAGCATTTATTCTATGAATGTCCAATAACACATTTTATATGGCAATCTTTTTCACAAAAATTGAAACAATATTTTGTGAACTTTACATTATCTAAGAAACACATTTTTCTTGGCCTTCAAAATGAGAGTTTACTGTTGAATTTGATGATTATCATTGCAAAGAACTATATATACAAATGTAAATTGTATGAAAAGAAGCCAAGTATTATAGGGCTTTTAGCAAAAATAAGAAAATATCAGGAAAATGAACATTATATAGCAAAGAAAAATGGTACCACACCTTTTTTTCAAAAATTCTGGGCCCCAGTAGATTACATTTTTACTGATTAGTAACAATTACTTTTGATTCAAATCATATAAAGTAAAAAATGAAACTTACAGTTTATAAAGAGCAGATCTTTACAAAGATAACATTTTTCTTTGCAATACACAAGTTGATATATGTTATGTTAACGCAAGTGCAAGAGTGGGTGTATGTGTGTGTGTGTGATTGTTTTCTTTTTCCCTGTTTATTATAATGTTGATATTCATATAATATATATTCACAGTAGAAAAAAAATGTAGTCAATTATTAATTATTTTTTTGTTTCCTATATCAAACCCCTTAACACCATAGTCAGGTGGTGATGTATAGGGATTGTAAAAGCCTGACTACTGAAAAAAAAAAAAAAAATAAAATTAGCTAGCGCTTTAGTTACAGTTCACATTTCTGCCGATACCATTGATTTTGTTACTTTGTAAACTTGTAACTAAAGACACGCCTCATACTGGCGTCTCGAGATTGAGTCATATTGTTTTAAAAAGGTAGAATTCTACCTAATTAGATATAAAATGTTTATTGAATACACGTGTCATTTGAAATTGCGACGTGTGCCTAAATATTGGGATATATTCAATTGATTATCATAGGGTGTAGTTGAACCTAAATGTATCTATCATATTTTTTTAATTTCTCGAATTGAAAAAGCAGTAGCAAGTTCTTTGATTGGTTACATTAGGTGGAAATTCTTACGCAAACATTTTTATTCATGGCTTTTCTAAAATTTCTACGGCTGGATGCAATTCATTTATGTTATATTAAAAAAAATCATCTAAAAATGTTTGAAATCTTGAAAGTAATTAGAACTTCTATAAATATATGATACAAAATGGTTAACATGTATATAGTCCATGAGGTACGAATTGATAGATGAATTTGACCAATAGGGAACGAAATGGTTTTTATCGTGGGTACGTTTACGAAAAGGTATATGTTGGGTACGAAATGGAAATTTTGGGTACAAAATGGCAGAGTTACGAAATGGTTAAGGTACGAAATGGCTTGCTACCCATGTACCAGGGGTAGTCTGTGTTTACCTTTATACATTAAGATATATCCCCCATCCCTTGAGATTGGATTGCTAGTATAGGTCATAAGATGGCTAGAACTCCATCTTTTCCCCAAACAAAAACAAGACTACTGAAATTTAGAGAAATCATTTTTTTTTGTCATTTTTTTTTAATTGCATGAGATACAAAAAGCTGATGGATGAAAAATCTAATAATAATGGTCAATAGCTATTTACAATATACAGGAATAAAACTTACAGCAAAATGTAAATAAATCTTTCCAAATTATAAATTCAAATATCAAAAGCAAATTAATTTATCACTTGCTTGAAAGCCCACAGTAAAAAAAGCAAAAATAACGAAACAACCATAAAATATATTTCTAACACAATGAATTTATGTACTTGTACAAAATTGAAAGAAATTACAGCAAAGAAGAGCCATGACTTTAAAAAAAATACTTGCTTTATTTTTATGATGAAAAATGGTGAAGGTTAGCATCCAAGTTATTTTCTATTTCTTTATAGTGTATTTGACTTCGTTTACACAGTATTTAACCATTTAATATAAAGTATAATCTAAAATGTAAAACTGTATGAAGACAAATAAACAGCATTGCCAGGAAAGCATGATTTGCCTGTCTATAAATCAGTGAGATTGTACATTTGACATAATATAGTTAAAATGATGACAGAATTAAGAAAGTATGTATTAAATACTGCATACTGATGATTTGCTTCCCAAAACCATCAGTGAAAATAAATAAGGCAATAAATACAGCATTTATGTATATTGTTTTTTTCTTTCTAAACCTGGTTTTTAACAACAATCAAACAGTACATCTTATGTATAAACAAATATGTTATTAGTTTTTATGCAACGATATACTGTACTTTAAAAGAATCAATAAAAAATCAAATAAAAAATAATCTTTCAAAATATTAAATTGTTCAAAAAAATGCACATGTTGAAATGTCTCACCTTTTTTACTTATCATTAATTTCATGTTGAAATCCTGTAATGTGAACATGGTGAAGGTTTACTACAAGTATCACATAAAATTAATCTTATCAATGTTCTATGAAACTGAGGTCAAATAAACTGTGCCAGACAGACATGTGCACCTGACAACCATTCCATACACCAAATACAGAAGTTCTATCGCTAATAGAGAGAAACAGATCAAACAACAAAATCTTAACATTGACCAATGAACCTTAAAAATGAGATCAAGGTCATATGAACCCTGCCATACAGACATGAACAGTACCCTATAATCATTCCATACACCAAATAGAATTGACCTTTTGCTTACAATATCTGAGAAATAGACTAAACTAGAAAAACTAAACCTTGAAAATGAGGGCAAGGTCAGATGACAACTGCCAGTTGGACCTATTAATCATTAGACATCAAATATAGTAGACTTATTGCTTACAGTATCTGAAGTATGGACTTGATCATGAAATTCATTTCAAGTAGTCACTGATACAAACATTTAGGTCAAGGACAATGGACATATGACACATAGAAACTTCATAACAGAAGGCATCTATATAGAAGGTATGAAGCATCAAGTACTTCTCCCTTCTGAAATATTAAGCTTTTAAGTAATTAGTAACTGCCGCCAATGCTGCAGGATCACTATCCCTATGTCTCCCTTAATGAAGTCAGAAAATTTTCTACTTTAATATGCATGGATCTTCACCGGCTGATTATATCTAACCCATGTCATTATGCTATATTAAAGTGCTTTAGTTATTGAGATATAAACCAATATTAGCAATAAAATAATCTGCAGGGTTCAGTTTGATATGACCTCAGAGGTCAAACCCTGAACAGTTGGGGCATGTATTGACACAACATTCAAACTTGATAAAGCTCTGAATTTGGATTGTCATTGAATATTTGACACAGCATAGGTTTCTAACACAAAATAAATGTGCTCTTAGAACTAAAACTTAGGAAATTAAACATTTACTTATTATGGTCAAATACAATTTCATAGAGATCCATAGACTCATACTAAAGCTATTGTCTGGAAACCAAATGTCTTCAGAAGATGACCACAACGCCATCAACACTGACAAAGTCATAACATTATACGACCACAAAAAATTTGCGGTTAAATAAAAAGTTCATACAAGATACCATAAAGATCATTCATTCCAAGTTTGGTTGAATTTGGTTCAGTATAGTTTCAGATAAGATCTTTGAAAAAGTTATGATGACAAAAGTCAATGATGTCAATAGCTCACATGGTCTTTTAGGCCAGGTGAGCAAATAAAAGACTAACTCTTCCTGTTAAAAATGTGTTTTATAATCTTATTTCAGCGTTATGCTGATATCTGTTATGATTCCTGATCCATAACACTTGTATATATGTGATGTAAGCACATTATTGAATCATATGTCAACAAACATCCATAAAAATAAGTTACTAAATACAGTAATAGAGTTAAGTCATTAAAGGATCTCAATATCAAACTTTTGTTATTGGTTCATTCTGCTTTTGCACATCTTTTAATTCAATGTTATCTTTTTGCGATACTGTCTTCTTTTTACCATCCTTCTCTGAAAATAAAAAAATAAAACAAAATTAATTTCAAAGCACTTAGGTTGTCCAAGCATAAATATCAATAACTTAAAAACATATACATTGCTGATATTTCTGATCCTTTAGAATTACACAAACATTGTTTTCAACTGTACATGCAAATTCTATCTATGTATGATACAATTTCACTTATATCAATTAACTTAAATTGAACTTTGATATCTCTAGATCTTTAATACTTCTATCTTAATAGACAATCTGTTCTTTTTTTATCTGAGCAAGTTCTAAAAAATAATACATGTTCTGTTAACATTATGAGATAGATTTAGTAGAAACAAAAATTCACATGTTATATTGCTTCACATATATATATATATAAATATATTGGAGTTTGCCCGACAGATCCTGACAGGTATATATAATTTTAACTTATTTAAACTGTTGACCCTGCTGTCCAAATAAAAGTTAAACTGTTAAATAGTATTTAAAGGGGCACTAGCTACGAGATATATAAAAAAATTTAAAATATGTTTTTTTTTGTTCAATCATTAATGAAAGTGAAATAGTGAAATACTAATTCACTTTGAGCAGCTTGCATGGTTCAATTTTGTCAAATTAAGCTAAAATAAATTGATTCGCTGAGCGCAGCTGGATATGACCGCAGATGTCCAACCCTGGAAAGTTTGAATTTATAGTAAATTTTTTGCTTTTGTGCAATACACTATGCTGTTGCCAATTGACCCCCTCCCCCCCTAAATAAAATTGACCCCATTTTTTGGCTTTTGTGCAATACACTATCCTGTTGAATATTAACCCCCCAAAAAAATTTATTTGAAGAAATTTTCTTTTTAATTTCTGAAATCTGATATGAGAAAAAATAGTCCCCCCACAAATTCTTATTTACCTACACCCCCCCCCCCCCCACAATTTAGTTTCACCTCCCCCTTTCCCTTATTCCAAAAAAATATCATTCCATCAAGATATAGTCATAATCTCAATTCAAATTTTAATAAAATTTGCAACCATAATTACCCTTTGAAATACATCATACAAGTCTTAGAATATAAAATGACATACATAGTCATGGATTAAATTAATATTAATAAATAGTAACTTTTAAAAAAAAATTGACAGCTAATCACCTCAAGACAATCATCATTTCTTAATACATAATTTACAAGCAGTGTAAGGGAGGTATTGAACATTGTTGTTTTAAATTGGGATTGGATTACCTCCCTTAGACTGCTTTAAATTGTCTTAATTGTCCTTTAACCAGAAAAAAACTTGTTTTCCCCCCTTTTTTTGCCTCTAATTCCTAAATGGTTTGAGCCCTAACCCCCCATAGTCAATCCTAACCATCCCTTTGTTGTATGGAAACTTATAATTTCAGAGAGATTCATACACTTTAACAAGTTATTTTCTGGAAACTACAAAAATGCTTATTTGGGCCCCTTTTTTTGCCCCTAATTCCTAAACAGTTGGGACCATAACCCCCAAAATCAATCCCAACCTTCCTTTAGTGGTTATAAACCTTATGGTAAAATTTTATTGATTTCTATTTACTTATACTTAAGTTATCATATGGAAACCATCTGTCTTCGGACGACGCTGATGATGACGACGACCTAATCACAAACTAATACATTTTAAGTAAGCAAAAATCAAAAGACCATGACTGAGTGGTCGAGGCCAAATAATCTCCATTACATGAGAATGAGATGTGCCAATACTAATATAACTGCATACCAATATCGTTGACCTATTAAATATATATTAAAGTTTAATACTGGTTACAAATTTTTATTTTTCATGTTAAGCCTCAGGCATGTATTTTGAATTTAATTGCGATCACACGTTTACACGCACTTCAACATGAAACTTTGTGTGATCAAATAATTTTGTTTTTTAATTTTTGATCTTCTAACCAAAATTACAGGATCTTGATTGGACTTTTGACAAACTTTTTAAACAGAAATGGTCCTTTCAAGGACAGAGGTAAAAATTCTAAACTTGCAATAGATTGCCAGGCATAAAAGCATAATTTATCAAATGAGGAGCCTGTTCTAATTAGTAACTTTTACTTACTGTGAAGTCTTTGATATCCACAAAAGATCAGCATTCCAAAGAAAAGAATAAGGGAACCAACCACAGCTACTACTATCAACTTTATATCGTAAGACTTCTTCCTTGCTGAAAGTACAATGAAGCATAAAAATAAAAGTTCAGAAATGACGCAGTCTCAATCTACATTAATCTCCTCACTAGTTTTACACTAATTTCAGATTTGATTATATAATTAAATATAAAAACAATAAGAAATTTTAAGACATATGATTGGAATAATTTTTTGAAGATTAAATCATTTCTGTATGAACCACTTTTAAAAATAACTATTCCAATTGCAAGATGTTTTCATAAATAAAATGTCATTCTTCTTCAAGTCTTAGTTGCTTCAATCAGTGTTAGTGAATGTTGCATAAAAACACAGATATAAAAGGGGTATGTTATGCATGCACATTCCTTACTACATGTATCTAAGACATATTTACTTCAATAACATAATTCATCTATAATAGTCTAGTTATTGACCTAATGCAAAACTCAACACCATACATTCATTAATTTAAAGGTATATATCTATGTGAACATTTTTGCATGCATTACTCCAAATCCAGCCTATAAACTGTAAGCAAAGCAGAACTCAAGAATTCACATTCTCCACATACATGCACTTACTCTAAATATTCAGGAATCTTAAAAGTTGTGAAGATTTTCTAAAAATTGATTAGGAATTACAAATTACCATTATATACATGAACTATTACTAAACAAAGTTGCTGAAAAACAGCATAGATTTAATAAACAAACAGTTTCCATTTTCCCCATTTCCATTCTCAATTTTATTATTAATTAGATTAAGGAAGAACCAGTTTCTTTTCAAAATCTCCCCTAAGGACTAACTACATGGAGATCTCTGACGGCACATAAGAGGTGAAAGTGTGTTTAAAAACGTATGATTAACAACAAGTTACAACAGAGTTTATTCCATTTTGATTTTATTTTCATAGTTTTTTATATGACTTTGATTTTGAACAAATCGGCATATTCATGATATCACCTGCAGAAAAGTGAATTTCACAGCTCTAAACATCGCATTCTTCTACAGGTATAATTATGGTAAATTGTTTGATGAAAAATTGTTTTGGTAAATAAATGTCATTAAGTACGTTTGTTCTTCTCAACACGGAACATGCACACACTGAAATGTCTCACCTGGTTTACTTTTCATGATGAAATTTATGTTGAATTTCTGACATCTGATTGTTTTAATCTATATTAGAATCACATAAACTTAACTACTTCAATCACCATGTAAATGAGGTCAAAGCCAGGAGAACCCCATAAGACAGACATTTACACCATACAATCATATAAATACAATACACAAATGTATTTAGCCTTTTGCATATAGCATCTAAGAATACAAGCCTAATTCCAAAAACTAAACACTGAATAAATTGTTGACATAGAGATATGTCTTGCCTTTTTTTTGTTATTTTAAAAGTAAAATGCAAATGTTGAAATAAAAATAGCAGTACTTTTACCTGTAAGTTATGCAAAATATTCAGTCAATGAGTGAAGACTGAATTCCAAGGTACAGGGCCAAACAATCTCCATGGAAATGAGACGTGCCAATGCTAATACATATGCATACCAAATATCATTGACCTACCACTAGAGGCTTCCAATAAACTGACCTAATCACAAACTAATACATGTAAACTAAGCAAAAGTTTCAAAGTCAATAGACCATGACTGAGAGGGCGGGGGCAAATAATCTTCATGCAAATGAGATGTGACAATGCTAAGACAACTGCATACCAAATATCATTGACCTATCACTAGTGGTTCCCCATAAACTGACCTTATCACAAACTAATACATTGTTAACACCGTACCTGCTGATGTGGCTGACGCCGAAAACAGCAAACCTATGTCTTGCTTTTTAACTCCGTTAAGGGAAAACAACAATTAAGCATAAAAATAAGGTCAAGGTCAGATAAACACTGCCAGACAACATGTACACCATGTTATCATTCCATACACCAAATATAGATGAATGATTGCTAGCTTGCACTATCTAAGAAACAGATCTAGAGTTTATCATGAAACTTAACCTTGTCAAATGAACCATGAAAAAGAGGTTAAGATCAGATGAACCAGGCCTGCAAGACAGACATGTTCACCACACACGTCATTCCATTACCAAATATAGTGGCCCTATTGAAAAACTTGACATTGTTCAATGAACCAGTAATAAAATGCTCCGCAGGGCGCAGCTTGATACGACCGCAGAGGTCGAACCCTGAACAGTTGGGGCAAGTATGGACACAACATTCAAGCTTGATACAGCTCTGAATTTGGATTGTGATTAAATATTTGACACAGCATAGGTTTCTGACACAGAATGAATGTGGTCTAAGAACTTAAAAATTTTAAATTGGACATTCAACTATTATGGTCCAATATCCAAAATCTAAATACATGGTTAGATTCAGCATATCAAAGAACCCCAAGAATTCAATTTTTGATGAAATCAAACAAAGTTTAATTTTGGACCCTTTTGACCTCAATGTGGACAAAGTTGATAATGGGGCCCAAAAATCAAAAATCTAAATACATGGTTAGATTCAGCATATCAAAGAACCCCATATATTCATTTTTTGTTGAAATCAAACAAAGTTTAATTTTGGACCCCAACTTGGACCAACTTGAAAACTGGGCCCATAATCAAAAATCTAAATACATGTTTAGATTCAGCATATCAAAGAATCCTAAGAATTCAATTTTTGTTAAAAACAAACAAAGTTTAATTTTGGACCCTTTGGACCTTAATGTAGACCAATTTGAAAACAGAACAAAAATTAAGAATATAAATACACGGTTAGATTCCGCATATCAAAGAACCCCAATAATTCAATTTTTGATGAAATCAAACAAAGTTTAATTTTGGACCCTTTGGACTTCAATGTGGACCAATTTAAAAACGGGGCCCAAAATCCAAAAACTTAATACACGGTTAGAATCAGCATAATAAAGAACCCCAAGAATTCAAGAATAAAACCCCATTGAAATTGGTCAAGAAATAAGCAATTTATACGAAGTATCTTCTTTTGTACAATACTGTGCAATTGAATATTCCTTGCTATTGCGCAATACTGTACAATTGACAATTTCTTGCTATTGCGCAATATTGTGCTATTGGATATTTCTTGCTATTGCACAATACTGTGCAATTGAAGATTTCTTGCTATTGCGCAATACTGTGCAATTGAAGATTTCTTGCTATTGTGCAATACTGTGCAATTGAAAATTTCTTGCTATTGCACAATACTTATTTTATAATAATTTACACATCCTGTTTGGTGTGTATCTCCTACCATATCGTTATTATTTGCTTTTAAATATAAAACAGAAATAACCAACTTAAAATGGAAAATTTTAAAAGAAAAAAAAAAGGACAAAAAAAAAAATCCCCCCCCCCCCCAAATTTTTTGAACCCCCTTATGAATCATCACCCCCAAACTCAATCCCAGCCTTCCCTTTGTGGTATGGTACCTTGCAGTACAATTTCAGAGAGATCCATACACTTGAACACAAGTTATTGTCTGGAAACTAGAAAAATGCTTATTTTTGGCCCCTTATTCCTAAACATTTTGGGCAATTACCCCCAAAATCAATCCCAGCATTCCCTGTGTGATATGGAACCTTGTGGTACAATTTCAGAGAGATCCATACACTTGAACACAAGTTATTGTCTGGAAACTAGAAAAATGCTTATTTTTGGCCCCTTTTTGGCCCCTTATTCCTAAACGTTTAGGGCAATTACCCCCAAACTCAATTCCAGCTTTCCCTTTGTGATATGGAACCTTGTAGTACAATTTCAGATAGATCCATACACTTACACACAAGTTATTGTCATGAAACTAAAAAAATGCTTGTTTTTTGCCCCTTTTTTGGCCCCTAATTCCTAATATTTTGAGGCAATTACCCCCAAAATTAATCCCAGCATTCCCTGTGTGATATGGAACCTTGTGGTACAATGTCAGAGAGATCCATACACTAACACACAAGTTACGTCTGGAAGTTACAAAAATGAAAAAAATTGCCCCCACAACTTCTTTTTTACCCCCTTCCCCCCTTCCCCCCTAAATTTTTTTTCACCTCCCCCCCCCCTTTTCCAAAAATAATTCTTTCCCTCAAGATATGGTCATAATCTCAATTCAAATTTCCAATGGAGTTTGCAACCATAATTACCTATTTAAATACATCATAAAAAACTTAAAACAGTAAAAAAAATCCCACCCCCCAATTTTTTGAACCCCCTTCTGATTCATCACCCCCAATCCCAGCCTTTCCTTTGTGGTATGGTACCTTGCAGTACAATTTCAGAGAGATCCATACACTTGAACACAAGTTATTGTCTGAAAACTAGAAAAATGCTTATTTTTTTGCCCCTTTTTGGCCCCAAATATCTAAACGTTTAGGGCAATTACCCCCAAACTCAATTCCAGCTTTCCCTTTGTGATATGGAACCTTGTAGTACAATTTCATAAGGATCCATACACTTACACACAAGTTATTGTCCTGAAACTAGAAAAATGCTTGTTTTTTGCCCCTTTTTGGCCCCTAATTCCTAAAACTTTGAGGCAATTACTCCCAAAATCAATCCCAGCCTTCCCTTTGTCGTATGGTACCTTGCAGTACAATTTCAGAGAGATCCATACACTTGAACACAAGTAATTGTCTGGAAACTAGAAAAATGCTTATTTTTGGCCCCTTTTTGACCCCTTATTCCTAAACTTTTTGGGCAATTACCCCCAAACTCAATGTCAGCTTTCCCTTTGTGTGTAGTACAATTTTAGAAAAATCCATACATTTACACACAAGTCATGAAACTAGAAAAATGCTTGTTTTTTGCCTCTTTTTTTGGCCCCTAATTCCTAAAATTTTGAGGCAATTACCCCCAAAATAAATCCCAGCATTCCCTTTGTAATGTAGAACCTTGTGGTACAATGTCAGAGAAATCCATACACTAACACACAAGTTATTGTCTTGAAGTTACAAAAATGCTTATTTTTGGCCCCTAATTCCTTAACTGTTGGTACTATAACCCCAAAAATCTATCC